CGAAGCACCAGCAAAGCTATTCACCCAGATTGGAATGGATTTCCTGGGTCCCTTTCCAACTTCCACAACAGGCAACAGATGGATTATTGTGGCCATCGATTACCTCTCCTGTTATGCGGAGACTAAAGCTATGCAGCACGGCACAGCAGCAGAAGCCGCTCAGTTCTTCATCGAAAACATCGTCTTTCGGCATGGCGCTCCGACAGCAGTGATCACAGACAGAGGACCTGCCTTCACCGCAGAGCTTTTGGAGTCTGTTCTCAGACACAGCGGTACAGCTCACCAGAGAACAACTGCACACCATCCGTAGACAAACGGACTGACAGAGTGCCTCAATAGGACCCTCACAGACATGATCAGCATGTATGTTGACACGGAACATAAAAACTAGGATCAGATATTTATTTATTTATTTATTTACATATACTGCCACTCCCAAATAGGGATTATTGCAGGAAGGGCACATACATTGTGAAAGGGCAAGATTTATACAAAGGGTACTCACTGAATTATTATAATAACGAGTGAGACAAAGCCGACAGAAATACATTTGATGACTACATCAGTACCACTAAAATACATTCAGTAGCATAGGACATCAATTCCAACTAGTACTGAAAAAAAAGGAATAGTGAGCACTTCAAACAGTGGACAAGAAAAAAACAGAGTTCGTCAATTCTGAAGACAATAAATAACATTCGAGCAGGGATGAAAAAGTTTCCAATGATTGACTGTTTGTTATACTGATTGGCAAGTTATTCCACTCGCGAATTGCTAGTGGAAAAAAAGAATATTTCAGACAGTCCGTCCGGCACTGATATTCATTCAGTGTCTGAAAATGCTTTTGTCGTGTTGGCCTTGTTTCTTTAAATGACATGTACTTTGAACTGTCTATGTTTAGCTGTTGGTGAACTAACTGATATAGGAATTTCTGACGTGCCAGTTTAGCGCGGTTTTTTATTGTTAAGAGACCTGCTTTTTTAAAAAGTTCTGTGGGTGAGTCAGTTATTTTGTACTTGTTATAGACAAATCTTATCGCTTTTCGTTGTATTCGTTCTAGGGCATTTATGAGATTGTTTGTAAAAGGAAACCACGCGACGTTTGCATATTCTAAGGCAGGTCTGACGAACGCTTTGTAGGCTAAAAGTTTCGTTTCAGGTGGCGCGAAAGCGAGACTTCTACGAAGGAAAAGCAGTTGTTTTAATGCAGCTGATGTGACATGACTAACATGGATATCCCATCTAAAATCTTGCATTAAAGCTAAACCTAGATATTTGTGTTCAGTCACTACCGGAAGTGGAGAGTTATTTATAATGTAAACAAATTCAGATACTTGCTTTTTTCTTGTTATCCTCAAGAGAGCAGATTTTTTAACATTCAGGGTCATTTGCCAAAGAGCACATCACTTAGATATGAACTGTAAGGCATTGTTCAGTTTTACATGATCTTCTGGGGTGTTAATTTTCTGGTAAAGTATACAATCATCGACGAAAAGCCTCACATTAACACCAATGCCAGCAGGTAAATCATTAATGAAGATATTGCTGTATGTGACCTTTGCCTATAATACCGCTCAACAAGAAACAACTGGAATGACACCGTTCAGTCTAATCTATGGTCGCGAAGTCACGACGACGTTGGACGCCATGTTGCCGCATGAATGTGACGACATCCATGTAGATGTCGAAGAATTCACTCAGTGCGCCGAGGAAGCTAGACAGCTCACGGGTGTGCGCATCTGTCATCAGCAGCATCAAGATGCACAACGGTACGACCCCCAACACAAGTTCATTAGCTACACACCAGGCGACAAGGTCTGGGTCTGAATTCCAATACGTCAACGTGGACTGTCTGAAAAACCGCTAAGACGGTACTTCGGCCCATACGGCGTCACGCGACGCTTGAACGACGTGAACTACGAAGTTGTTTCCGACACGAATTGTAGTTCTAAGCGCCAAAAGCATTTACCCGAAGTCGTGCACGCTGTGCGTATGAAACCATATTTATCGAGTTAATTAGCTCCTGGTTACGGTGTTGGTTCGACCACTTAATATACACCTGGTAAAGCGCCTAAGTTGTGCATCGGGACGATGCCTCTTTCGAAGGGAGGCAAATCACGTGCTTGCTCAGGGAAAGACGACAGTTGTGCATGTGCAATGAAAGACTATGAAATGGGCGAAAAAGAAGAACTCGCTTGTGCGTTTATTAAAAAAGACCGACCTGCGTCTGGTGTCTCAATCTCTGTGGCAAGACCTCTGCTTTGACGTCATGACAATATTTAGAGGGTCAGATCGCCGGGTATGGTGTGGAGAAGATGCAATGAAGTACATGGGTGCTAGAACACTTGAGTTGGTGTGAACAATCTTATACAGGAAGATAATATGATCACAACTGCACTGATGTTCAAGAGGGGCTGCAGCGGTAAAAAAACATGCGCATGCGACGTAGGTGAGAAATGCTGGTCATAGCAACAAAATATCAACCTTATTGCTTTTTTTTAACGGATTCTAACATAGCTATGTCATGTCTGTGGTGAGGTGACGAAACAGCTGTCGCATATTTGAGTCTGGCCAAAGTCTTATACGCTGTCAGTTTCCATTATTTCGTCTAGTTGCTTAATGCGCGTCGGACATAGCGAAGTTTTCGTAGAGCTTGTTGGAGATTGTCAAGGTGCTGTACCATTTAAAATTAGTTAAGAGAGTTACACCACTGTCTTTCAATCTGTAACACGTACTAGACTTACACGGTCATTAGTTTATGTAAAATGGAGTGGATGTTTCTTATTTGAAACGGTTGTGACTACAGTATTTTTGCAGTTAAGAAGCATTTGCCATGTTTCACTTTAGTTACAAAATGACAGAAAAAAATAATCAGCGCATCCTGATCTTGAGTGCTAGAGATAGTTTTAGAGATAACACAATCGTCTGCATTCATTCCAAGTCTAATTTAAGTGTTACTGAGAATCGCTATGTCATTTTTATAAATAATAAACAAAATAAGTCCAAGCACAGAGCCTTGAGGCTCCTCTGATGTGATCTGTACGCCAGACAACTTCGTGGAGTTAAATGTAACAAATTTTGAGTGCGATGGCAAGTAATCTGCTTTCCAATCAACCAGCTTGTTGTCGCTAAAACATTGTAAAGAAGGTAAAATTGTGGCATGGTAAAACATGTCATAAAGCTTAGAGTAGTCTATAAATAAGGCATCAATCTGTCTCGGGTTGTTTAGGGAAGAAGCAATGTCGTGCGGAAATTCAAGCAACTGTGTAACAGTAGAATAGCCAGCACAAAAGCCGTGCTGTGATATCGGGAAAGCATATTGTGTGCATTTAGGTATTCTACAATGTATTTGTTAAATATATGAGGAGCATGGAGCACCATAAAGAATTGTGGCTGCAGCTAACTCTCTTTCACCTGATCTCGCGATACAGCAAATCACTAATGTGTGGGGACACGGCAGCTTCTGGAAAAAGAGCGTTGTTCTTGGAGTGTGACATAGCACGTAGAAAAGTACAGGAGCCGCTTGCTGATGCCTGCTGAAATAGCGAGCACTAGCACTCGGGGCCATGCCCTTATAATCAAAGTTCACAGTTGCAGATCGAGTCACACAGACTCCTACTTGAATATCTCTTCATACTCCTTCGTCCAGCAAAAGACGACAGGGCTTCCTTTTCGGTTCAGGAGCAATCAACGGCAGGCATCGCACGGGGAGTGATGTTATCGCATGCACCCTTCGTGCGATAGCGATTGGGGAGCTTGTTTCATCTATGCTTGAGAAGCGTTCCTCGTTAGTGCTTGAAAGAGTTTACTCACAGGGACAATATACATTTCAATGTTATCAATTTGTACTTTATACGAAGCATGATGACGGCGATGAAAGCCTCTACAGAGTCTCTATATAATTCTTCTCACAATAAAATCAATTTACAAAAATCATCTAATCGGGCTGACCTCTTCTCTAGAGAGTTGCATCGTCATCGCTGTAAAGAATTTGGCCATTGGGAGACTGAAATAATCCTGCACCTCTTCCTCTGGTTGCACTCTCCACTACAGCCCCTTCACTGCATTTTTTACAGGCTATATCTCTTCCACACTTATGTCTTGTTTACGAAAGAGTGAAGGCTTAATACTTGCTAGTGTTAATTTTACGAGTAAAGCGTGATACCTGCTGATGCAAGTGTACGCTTAAAACAGTGCCCAGGTGCCCTAATTTGCTCACCCTTTACATCATGCGCACCTGTTCTATAGGAAGCGTGCACTGAGCTAGTGGTGCCGCTCTCTGGACCATGCGGTTCTATTGCATTACAAGACCGCTGAGATATCGCTTGTAGAGCTGGCACGTGATAATTTATGCACGCAGCCAGAGACACCTACAAACGGAGCTGAACTATTGCACAGAAAACAAATGCCACGCATTGCTAAATGCAACACTTGCAGTCTAGCAACCATACATATTACTAGCATAGATAGCGAGGGGTTGTCTAGCACATGTCGGTGACAAATGGTGATGACCTATGCATCGAGCTTTCCGCCAGTCAGCTGCACAAGTCGCCCTTTCAGAAGAGTCCGTTGCGCACCTGTGCTACGTCACACCGAAAATATGATTGATTCTGTAAATTTGTCTATTCTCATATTTTAGGGCCCCAAAAGAATCATGAACTGTTAACTTTATGGAAGCCTACCTGTTTTATCAAACCTGCCAACTTGGCACACACGTACTTCCTTACAACGTGGGTGTGGATAGACGATTCATAGCACGCCATTTGAAAGGGAAGTGGCCGCAAATTGCCATTCACGGAGCTGGTGGCACATAGTTGCAGTGCTCTGCTGCGCCTTTCTAGGGGCTGCACGTTTTCTATAGTACATTACTTCCTTGTAAAGGATGATTGTTTACTGTACTCCTGGATATTTATTGTAGAAGTATTTAGATGTTGCATTTTCTTTAAAAGACACATTTTATAAGGCTATTTTCTTTCAATACCCTTTATTTTCTTTTTTCAGCTGTTACAAAAGTTCTTGAAACAACTAGGTGTGACATTTCTAGGAGGCTCGAGATGACCGAAACAGCGATCAGAGATGCCATTATCAAAGCAGTCAAAAGCAAGGTTGGTGTTTGAGCACTTTTTATTTAGTGAGAGGGGCAATTTTTATTAAGTGAGAGGAGCAACGAGTCTGATATTTAAAATATCACTGTTGTGTCGAAAGGTGTACATTAGTCAGACATGTCGGTGTACATGAGGCCGACTCAAGATTTACTCAGGTCAGTGGACTAATAAAGTTGGTTGAATACTTTCTGTACGCTACCATTATTTATGCAAAATAACAAGCTTGAGAGATCAGCAGATTTTTTTTATTGACTCCGCTTAATTACCCATTTTACTTCTCAGAAATATAGGCTACCTTGTTTGTGAAGGGAAAGCAAAGAATAGTACTGCGAAGCTGTAGTCATTTTCATGAACAAGGCAGAGCTGTTGAGGGAAATCACTGAAACGGAAGAGATTGCATGTCTATCTGTGCATTGCATTGGCCAGCAGTCGGTTAGCTTAATTGAAAAAATGCAAGCATTGCTAATAATGTATATGTGACAGCTAAAGTTTGCAGGAGGTGAGCTCCACTGCAAATCAAAATTTTAATTTCAACTCTCTTAGCCCATGATTCTTGTAATCTGGATAGGTCACAACAACTACTGCAGATTGCAACATTGGTTGGGCGATTTGTGGCCATGTAGGTATTTTTAAACTTCAGTTTTTCATAAACATCTGCTGTTGTCAGCATCTTTAACTCGGAACGCTCCGACCCGGGGCCTCGGCTCGCTTGGACTGAGATCAGTGCCGTGAAGCGTTAAAAATGATGTGCTTGATGCAGTTAACAATAGATGGAGCGCGCATCCGTTTTACTAGTAAATTTCTGTTTCCAGTCTGCTTGACCGGCGGTTCGAATCCACTCACTGGGCATCCCGTTTTAGCCACGATCGCTCCCCTCATGGCTATGTTATCTCACTCGCCCATGGCGTTCGTTGTCATATACCTATTTCGACAATGAACCAATGCATGCAAATAGCTTATGCACCTTTCGAGCTAGAGTTCACATGTCTAAATCACATGTCTAAAGCAGAGCAATCGCACGTTCATGGTGTTTGTAAAGGTTGCACAATAAATAAATAAATCTGAAATGCGGCGGCGTTGTTCATGTTCTGGGTTATTAATTTTCAGACAGCGTGAATTGAAATGTTCTCTCAATTCGGAGTTTACCTTCCTGCTCATTTCTTGCTGCACGAAAGATGTGGTCTTGCACCACAAGATTTATGCGTGTAATAATATCTGGGGTTTAATGTCCCAGAACCACGATTTAATTATGAGGGGTGTTGTGGGTCAAGTCAATGGAAGTTTCGACGTGCATTAGGAAGATACGACGGGGCAACGAGTTACTTTATGTGCACATTCACACTGCTACTGTCTGCTATATACCACTTATGATAAGTATTTTTCTTTTTACTAAAGAGTCAGGGTCTTGTTTCATAAGATAGTAATTAAGCTTTCATGCAATAACTACGCATGAAAATTGCTTTGTTCGCGTCGTATCCACGAGTATGCCTTGCTGAGAACATCTCTTCCGTGCAGCACGAACAAGAAGGCGCACTCTTAATTACAAGAACAGATCAATTCACATTGTCTGAAAATTAATGAATCAGAAAATAAACGCCGTCACATTTTAGGCTTACTTATTGTGCAACTTTTTACAAACACCATGAACGCGTGTTTGCTCTGCTATGCGATTGCTTTTCAGCAGCATCCTCAAATTTTATTTAAAGGTGTGGAAGCTGTCGCACCCAAGAGTTCATTGTCGAGATAAGTTTTACGACAACAAATGCCATAGGTGTGCGCAATAATGTAACCACAGGCGGAACGCCACATAAACAGGATGCTAAGTGAGTGCATTTGACTCGCCCGTTAGGCAGACTAGAAACGGAAATTCATTAGGAAAAGTGACGCGCGCTCCATCTATCGATAACTGCAGCAAGCACATCATTTTCACCGATTCGGAGCATTCTAGTTGAAGGTGCTGACGGGTGTACATCTATCAGTTTTGTATGATAGATGTTTTGATGTGCGACCCTTTCCCCCTCCATGTATTTTATTTGTTTATTCATTTTTTGCCTTGCTATACATTGATGCAAGATGTGAAAATATACTCTTGCAACTACAGCAGTTTTTCCTCTGCCTGTTTTTCTTCCTATCTTCTGTTGGAAGTGCTATGCTGCATCTTTGAGAATGTTTTACCAAGAAGCCAAATTTTCAACTTTTGTGTCGACCACACTTCTCGCAGAAATGCTGATGTGTGTACCAACACACGTGCTGGTAAAATGAGCCACTTGTTTTTGCCCTTCTTCAAAGAGTCCACGGCTTGTGGCCTGCAAGTGAATGTGACCTGTTCTTGGTTGTGCACTGCGTGGCTGCTTTTCACTTTTTGTGATTTCACTTTTTGTGAGTGGCTGATTTAAAATATATAGGCTTAGAACTAAACTATGAAAATGATTTCATTCAAAGTTCTGCACCTACATTTAAGGGGGGACGCGGGTCTTAGAAGGCCCAAAATCACAAAAAAGATCTACTTTTTGAAGCTGACATTTTCGGAATCTGTACCTATTTTTGCGCCTATCAGAAAAATTTCTAGCTTCTCGCGTCATTATTTCTGGCGCAAAATCAATTTATGATATCCTTGTGAGATGAATCTGAGCGCAAATTGACGCTAAAATCGCGCTTTTTCCGCGCCGAACTGTTGCTGTTACACACGAGCTATTGTGTTCATCTTGGTCTCGTTTGGAAGGGTCGCTCTTCATCTTCAATCTTCTGCCACCGCTGACTCACCTTGCTCATTGGTTTTTCAACAAAAATGCGTCATCGAGAAGCACTAGCGCGCGATTCAATTGGCTGCTTGGGGCATGTGACAAAACCTAGGCATCCAATTGGCCAAGTGCCGCTTCTGGCGTCACCTTCGCTATCGTGACGTGTACGAACATACGCCATTTTGTCATGGTGCTACTCACTGCCTGCGGCAGTAAAGAAGTTCCGTGCTACGGTAATTTGTGAAGCGGGTGTGGCGATCGTTCATTCGCTGTGACCTTCAAATTGAGCCTCGCTATGGCTCAGGACAATGAGGATAATGAACTCGCCGCGATCAACGGCGGTTGCCGAGTCACCGGTGTAGGCCTAACTCAGGTATGAGCCGTTCGTTGGTTACTGTTTTTTGCAGCCTCATCAGTTAGAGGACGGTAAGTAAAAAGCAGAAGTGAAGCTACAAGAGATATCAATCTTTGTAGTGACGGAACGAAAGCGTATTCTTATCGCTAAACGCGCCGATGCTGCGGTTCCCACCCGCCTGACGACAGGACCTTGAACTGCGCAACGGGTCGTCAGCATGGAGTACGCCGCGCGTCGACGAACAGAAAGTCAACGTGCTCACCGCCCGCGCAATGGAGGCTACTGGCAATAGGTAGACTGCTTTTAACGACGTGTTCACAACGTTGTTGTGGTCTCCGCTCGAAAATGTGGCAGTCTTATGTGAAAAAGAAAGCGTAACACCTCGGCTCTCGTGTAGCCTTGAAATTGATGAGCGAGGGAGCAAGTTTGGTTCGCGACATTTACGAGTAACTCATTCTGGACAAGCCGGAAAACATCGCCGTGTTAAGCGACGGATCGCGGATGACGTGCGCCCATTCGTTGCACGTCGCCGTCAGTACAGTCACTGAACTGATAAGCAGCCTTGCAGCAGACAAGCACACGGCAACAACTTGCTACAGGACTAGAAGAAACGACACGCACGTGCAAACAATCAGTCCTATTACATTTCTGGTGCATATTAACTGACTAAAAGTATGTGTGTCATGATATTTTTCACTGATATTTTCAAGAGCATCATTTTCAAAGCACAGATTTCGACCACTGTCTTTTGCTTGTTTGGCAAAAGTGGACTTGGGACAACTAGAGCTGTAATTCTTTTTGCACAATGTAGCTAAATGTGCACAAAAATAATGCTGAGAGCCTATTTTTAATGGGCAGCTTCATTTCTTTTTTTAATTTCATTATAAAAATTTTCGTTTTTAGTTGCATGCAATGAACTTTATTGTGCTGTAATTCGAGAAGTACTCGTTCAATTATCGATCAGCTTGCAGCTTTGCACTCCTTAGGCTTTCTAGTATCTATATATATGTTAATGACTATGTACTTCTGAGTACATACATTTTTACGATTAAAAATGTTAGAATTTTTTGTTTTCTTGATTTTCTCAAAATGGCAATTTTGTACACCCTGCATGAAAATTCCTTATATATATCGGAAACTATTACAGATAGCAGAATATTTTTTTTTTGCAGCATGAAGCTATATGTTTGGAGCACGCAACATAGGAAGCAGATTTTGATTTCTCTTGATGAAAGTTTTTTAACTTAGTCTTTTGTGTGACCACACAATGGCCACATTCAGAGCTATGAAGTTTAGTGTACTGTAAAGTAAGAAATAATGATCCAATCAATTAAAAAAGTGCTTCCTATGTTGTGTAGCTTGTGCTTTCTAGTGTTGATTCCTATGGTATTTGTAAATTTTGGACTGGTGGTTATTTTTCTATTGTGGTAGGAACAATATATATTGTTACCATAATTAAATAATGAACTAATAAAGCTATAGGAAAATTAGCTACATATTTAGAATCTCGAGAACAAACTGAGTAAGCATGCCAACTTTTGTCACATTTGGTTCAAAAATAAATGAGAAAGCCCCAAGACCCATGTCTTTCCATATGACTACCTCTGCTACGGATTACCACTGCTAAACCAGATCAAACTGAATGTGTGGGTGGCAGCCATAAGTGCATACAGCCAACAGTGCAGCATCACTTCTATTCATCACTTAAACGTTCACAGCATTTTCTGGTGAAAGCAACATGTAGCGCTGAACACTGCAGCTCATGAATAGTGAGTTTTAGTGCTGCGTACATAGGGTCTATGACAGCATTTCTTACATAACAAAGCAGTGTTCCACATGATGGACATGAGCAGAAGTTGTGCACACACGCACTATGCCAAACGCAGCGTTCTTGCATATGCAACACCGTTACGGACGCTACAGGTATAGTACCAAAACTTGCTATTATCATACTTCGCGATACTGCTGAATTTGCTATTCATTCCTAGCAGACTTTACGGTGCATACATTTACAATGTGCACAATATGACCAGTAATTCGTGAAATCTATGTTGGTGAATGAGGGTATCAGGGAAATTCACTTGTATTAAATGGCTCCTATTTAGCTTTTTGTCAGTCTAAATGACTTAAATATGCTAGGGCGCATGCCCAGCCAAGTTCGTTATTTGTTCGACAGAAAGTCTTCAGAGCTCCTTGGATGTGTATCTCAGATATTATGAAAAACTTGCCTAGAGTCAGTTGACATTGCTGTTAGTGTTCTGCTTACCTGCTTCGATTTACTCATCTTGATAATGTCATGCATGCTTTGTGTGTTACTTCAGCTTGTAGCTTTCACTAAACATGTTTTGTTCTTCCTTTAGATGATGGCTGATACAGTAGCTCAAGCCATTAACACCTCGGTACAGTCGGACGTTCAAGGAACGTGTCGTGAGATTTTACAAAATACCCTGATTCCATCAATAGAGCGCATCTGTCAGGACTTGTTCTTGCAGCTCAACGAGGCTTTTAAGAGGGGCACCCGTGAGTGTAAGTGCTGTAATTCTTGCTGCCATGTGTGCTTTTATAAAATGACCTCACTACTGGCACATGTTCAATGCCACCTGTAGACCACTATGTGTCACTGCCTTATATTCACAGTATATATCTTTTACACTTCAATACAGACATTTATTTTAAGCTGGTTTACAGCCTGATTGCTTCATATCATTGCAACTCATTGGTCACTGTTTCTACTTCTTGTCAGTCATGGCACTCTTTAACTCATGATAAAAAGGGGGTGCAGCGCGAGCACGAAGGTGCTAGAAGAAACAGACGAAAGTCGAGGCACGGAAGGCAAAGAGGACTACACGAGCGCTGACTACCAACTGAATTTTATTATTCGCAGCACACATGATAATATATACAACAGGCAACCTTTGAACAGCACACGTGAGCAACGTGACATATTCTGGGGAATGTTCTGATAAAAAGAAGGTACAAAAATGGCTAACCCTTATCTAAAAGCGCAAACTCTTTGTCATGCAAGGCCACCGAAGGTTGGCTCACGCAGCCGTCACCATTTTTTCTAATAAAATACGCTTCAGCTATTTCCCGAGTTAACTTGTCCATGTGGCGTGCCAGCACACTCACGCCCGGAAATCGAGGCTGGCACCTGCAGCTTTTGCAGTGCAAAACAAGGTTTGCACTGATTCCTTTGCATATATCATTCATATGTTCTCCTAACCTTTTATTAATGCACCGCCCAGTTTGGCCTATATAACAATGACCGCACGTTAAAGGAATCATGTAAACAACACCAACTGCACAATCTACAAATTTATGTGTTTTACGGCGCATGTCCAACTTTTTTTGGTGATTCCACTAAGTCGCTCATCCGTCATTCTGCAAATCTGGCTTACTTTGCACGGAGCTGATAAAACTACATCCACACCATATCTCGGGCCCACCTTCTTCAAACCATGAGATATATTGTGGAAGTATGGGATGACTGCAACTCTTTTTCGCTCCTTATTTCCTCCTGCATTTTCTTGTTTTTGTTTGATTTTTTGCAACAAGGCTTCGCACACTGAAAAAATTACAGATTTTGGAAATCCTGCCGACAGAAGTCTGGTAATTTGCGTTGTTACACTATCAGTCATCTTGTGTAGGCATGACTTGGATAAGCCAGCACTTACAGCCGACGAAGCAATAGCTCTCTTGACCAGTTTTGTGTGGCAGGAGGCATAGTTTAACAAGGGTTTAACACTTCGCGGTTGGTATTCCCAGCATACGTGGTTTGGAAACAATGTAATATTAATATCTAAGTACCTCAGTGATCCCTGTTGGGGAACTTTGCAGGTGAAGTCTAGCCCACCTTCATGTGTTCTAAAGCACTCAATACAAGTTCAGCCGGGTTTTTCCTGTTAGTTAGGGAAGGCAGCAGAAAAATTAAATAGTCGTCCACATCTGAAAGCGGTTTGCACCAAATCCACAAGTTTATCACTGAGGATGGTGTCAATCTTGGCAAGAAAAATGTCACTCAGAACCGGGGCGACCCTTGACCTAATGCAAGCTCCCTTGCATTGTCTATAAAGAGACCCTCCCCACGACACAAAAGTGGAGTTCCAAGTAGAAAAGCAAAACTTCCATGAAAGAATTAACACTGACACCACAATCATTAATGAACAAATCTTCATGATTATCTTTGGTTATACAATCTCTAACATAATTTAACAATGTGCTCTGAGGAATGGAGTAATACAAATCTACAACATCGATACTTAAAACAGGGCACCCAATTGGATTATTATCCTTGAGGTATCTGACAACTTGCGAATTACGGACGCGGTAGGGGTCATTCAAAACTAAACTAGATAGATGTTTCTGCAAATAACCTCCCAAAAGCTTCTGCCAGGTTCCTCTTTCAGAAACAATTGTACGCAAAGGTTGTTCCGGCTTATGGCTCTTAATAGTGAAAAAAATGGACAATTCTTGGGAAGAAGCTTTCTTTTCGCTACGGGCTAAACCTAGCAAATTCACAGCCTCGAGGCGAGCTATAGCATCTTTCTTGATATTGGAACTTTTTGCTGTGACTTTTGAGAGGCGTGAGTGTGCTGGCACGCCACATGGACAAGTTAACTCGGGAAATAGCTGAAGCGTATTTTATTAGAAAAAATGGTGACGGATGCGTGAGCCAACCTTCGGTGGCCTTGCATGACAAAGAGTTTGCGCTTTTAGATAAGGGTTAGCCATTTTTGTACCTTCTTTTTATCAGAACATTCCCCAGAATATGTCACGTTGCTCACGTGTGCTGTTCAAAGGTTGCCTGTTGTATATATTATCATGTGTGCTGCGAATAATAAAATTCAGTTGGTAGTCAGCGCTCGTGTAGTCCTCTTTGCCTTCTGTGCCTCGACTTTCGTCTGTTTCTTCTAGCACCTTCGTGCTTGCGCTGCACCGCTTTTTATCATGAATTCAAACCAACTAGCCGAAATCGCCATTCTTCTTCAATGCACTCTTTAACCACACCTGGCTCTTGCGCGGCTGAAAACATATCACCTCACTATTGGCCTGTAGTCTGGTACAACCATACCTGCCAACTTTTGTGAATTTGCGGTACAATGTACGAATTTCGACTCCTGAAATACTTTTTCAAGTAACCATAGAATAAATTCGCTGGAAGAGCTTATTGCTTTACGAGTTCAATGCCGCAAAAATGTTTAGGAATCCGTCCAGTGCGAGTGGAGTTACAAAGGTTTGTCGCATGCTGCAATTGCATTCTCTTTTCTCTCCGCCCGACAAAAGCGCTGGAAGCTAGGCAGGGAGGCATGGCCGGGCCACAGAAAAACGTCACACCTGCCTCGCGACCTCGAGCACTTTTTTTGTTTTGTGTCCTTTGAATGTGCTGCTTCTTCAGTGTGAATCTGCGCGTACGCGTGGACAAGTAGCGGCCTCCCACGGCGATCTCTGTAACGAGGGTGTGCGTCGTGTTCAAATCGGCCAATGGCTGATAGATGGGTTGTTCACGTGTAATTTTTGGGTATATCACGTGATTTGTCGGGAGAAGAGAAAGTCATTTTGAGCTGACTTTGATAATTTATTGTGAATTCCAGGCCGCGTGTTGTGCTATAATATTTGGCTCGCATGTTGTCAAGAGCCTCTACTACCAATCGCCAGCGTTTTCTGACCATGCTCAAAAAGTGTTACAGGGCCCCTTTAAGATTTTGCGAATCTTGCTTGCAGTTTTACTGAACACATTTTATTTTTGATAGAATAAAGTTGAAAATATATGAAAACAGCGTGGCTTTTGGGATTCGTTTCAGCATGTTGCCGTAGTGAGTCGCAGAGGCCGTGAAAAGGGCATTATAGTACATTCTGCTGCTACGAAACGACAGTATTTACTCGTGTTATCATCATCAACAGCAGTGTCATTATTTAGCAGAGTGGCTAGACAGTTTACATATTTGTAACATCTTTTTGCACGTATGGTTATGAATCTATATAATAAAGAAGTCTCCATTTCTCTATGTTCATACCGGCTCGATGCATCCGTAGACATGTGGAAGTGGGCATCGTGCGCAGGCCGGTGGTTAAGACTTCACTGTTGTGTCGCTTTTCGGATGATCCGCGTTTGGGTGCGACGCAACAGGACTGCTGTGTCTAATGGTATGTTCAACTGGTCATTTTCGAGCACTCCAGAGGAGTTAGAAAATTTTGGTAAAAAAATGGGAACTAACATGACTATTAAATATATTAGGGCTTTATAGTACGTTAAAAATTATTGTCATGTTTAATTGTTCTCGACATAAAAAATTAAAACTCTCGAGTTCACTTTTAAACGCAGCTTGAGCACTTTCAAACGACCACCCAAACGTGCCATAATCCATACCAGATTCACAATGCAATGACAGGCTTGAGGCCATGACAGTACTTCATGTTTACTAATTTAGGAAGCGTTGATATAAACTTCCAGCAAAATCACTGTGATACGCATTTATAAAGTTCGGATATTCCGAACACTTTTCCACATCATGGCGAATGAAATGAACTTTGGTTTCAAGCTGTCGAGCGATAGTTCAAAACAGCGTTTTGGATGCTTCAGAAGTGCGCACACGGCTAGCATACACACTGCCAAAACTGTGGCTATCATTTGCCACAACAGCAGGACGAAACTGGTCTTTCCTGGCACAATCTTGTATGGCGACAGCGTAGCTAACAGAAATCCAAAAGTGCAGAGGTGACCATGCTTACCCACTTAAAGTGACACGGCTTTCCGCAAATGCTGTGCACAAAACTGTGTCAAATGTGACTAAAGATATCAACAAACGACCTAATTTTAAAGACACATGCACAGCCAGTGCATGCAAGTTGAAAACGGGGCTATTGTTTGGCACAACCGCCGTGCACAGAACCGCGGTCGCTGTGACACAATCATCCAGTAACTACGAGCTCTGAATGTACATGACTAATGCAGCTGTAGATTAAAGGGGAACAGATCAGGAAAAAAAGGCAAGAAGCGTTTCACTGTTCCTGTCAATCTTCCTTTATGACTATAGTGGACTGGGCATCACTTGCAGTTGGCATTAAGCATAGCTTTAATGCACACCTTGAGGGCAGCTGACATTCTTTATTGGTCCATTCACATGTCTCCCAGAACATGCGCAAGCTCTTTTGACAGAAGTAAATGTAAAACTGCTTTTTCCTGTTTGGTTGTGTTCAGGGGGGGGGGGGGGGGGGAGAACACGAAAGTTCGGCCCTGCATGCCATTTCCAGTTTTTATGTTTTTCTGTCATAAAAAAAAAAGGCGTGGGAGGGGAGGTCACATGTTGCGCCTACCACCACCCTCCCACCATGTCTCGTAAATTCCCTATATTCAGATTTTTTTAACTTAGCAGTTTTGTAAATGCGATGAAATCGCCGTGCTTTGCGCTGTCAAAGGGAAGTACCACGTGTGCCTTTAACGTGACACTTCACAAGCTGGTGAGTCGCACATCAAGGTCCTCATTGCTACAAAAAGCACTAGGGATATGTGCGAGACGTGGACAGCC